TTTTACCTCAGTTGCTAATCTCCCGAATTTATCCATAGATTCGAAATTACTTAATCTCCGAGAAGTTTCATTACGGGAAATATTATTTTACATAATCTGCGTGTTTGGGAGAGATATAGATAGACAAAAATCCTGTAGACATGGGTAGGATAATTTATTTCGAAAATCTAGTATAGAAAAAGAGTATAGGGATGAGAATCTTGTAATTAGAAATATTAAGAAACAAATTAGCTATAGATATTTTTCGTAAACGTGAGAGAGCAAAGAAATAACTTGATGCTAGGACTCGCATTAAATGGCCTAGGATCCGCGTACTCTCTCCCTCTTTGACATCATACATTTCATTCGCTTCCAGCATTTTCTGATTCACTATCTATCTGAAAAATCATTAATAAAGTTCACCAACTTTGAGTATTGAATGCATCGACAAAAAATAAAAAAAAATAACTGACTGTAACTTTTCTTTGTTTTTTTTTTGAGTGGACAGTGGTGGTTGGCGTCTCCGTCTATGATGTATGTATATTATTATGCAGATCGATCAGATGATCAGACATCACATTGTAAATATATTGAGAGTTACGCGTCATAGAATCGTAATCAATTTCTGTAGTGTACACGTAGTTTTTTAAGATGTTTGAATCACTATTGAACGAGTACTTCGACAAAACCTTATATAAGGAATGGTCGATTGTTAATGTCTTGCGATACGTAGAGCCAAAAACCGAATTATCTGAATATACAATCAATAATACCCTCAAGGATGACCTTTATTCGCTACTACAGAGTTTAGGCGGAAAATGCTATGCAAACGAGTATGCCAAAAAAAAGGCGAAGAAACTTCTGTCAAACTATGATAAGATATTCTCTTCAGTCGCTGTAAAACGTTTCATCGACGAAATTGAATTAAAAAATGAAAAAAAGGAATTTAATGTGGTGATAAGACGAAATGTTGCATCTGCAAGTACGCTACAAGCATTAGAGGTGAGTCATAAAGTAAACCTAGAATAAAACTTGCAATAATCTTACTGACTGTTCTGTCAGGAACATCGTACGGCCAGGACAGAAATCGAAAACATACGCAACGCGAATGTAAAAGAAGCTACCGGTAATACAATCAAACTCATTTTACATTAGGTGTCGAATTGTGTATTAACCCTTTTTTATGCTGTAGAATTAGTACCTTTAAAGCGAAAATCCTCCTATCCACATGAAGACGAAAGAAAGAAAACTATAGTTATAGATAATGATAATGAAAAATATTATGAGTCAATGTGGAGTTCTGATCCCATAAATGAATTTTTTTCATCTGCATCAGGTGGTGCTTCGAATCTCTTTTCTGAAATCATTTCAGATGTGCATAATGACACCTCAACTAATGAAAATGAGCAAGTATCGTCGTCTACAACTAATGAAAATGGTACAGTGATGATAGAGAGCCCAAGACAAATACTGCCATGTATTCTTAAATCCAACGAGAACTTTACCAATGTGTGGGATAAATATTTGCTCAAGATTGAATTGAATCCATAGAGTTTGGAGCATGATTGCATTGTTAAAACATTTCAAAATGATGTGCTCAAATCAGTGTGTTCGAAAGAAGACTGGGTGCAAATCCGAGGCAAGCAACTGTGTCTCGCAGAAGAAAATTTACTGGAGAGACTTAAACCCATTTTTCAAGAGAATGAAAACGATAAGCGGTCTCTATTACAGAAATTTGCGCGAGTTTGGGTCGATATAGGTGAAAATGAGATTACCATATTTGAACAATATTCGTTACTGGTCACACATATCTTTATTAGTGAATTTGAAAGTAAAAGAAATATCATCTCACACCCTTCGACTACTGAAGCTATGTGGAGTACAGTAATTAGCTTTACAACGGGAAAAGCAATACGTGACGGAAATATGGAATATACATGGGGGGGAGGTCGAGTTGGATTCAACAGCATTAAGAAAAGACGGTGGCCGGGATATTCTTACTCTTCCAAAAGTTTCAACGGGTCATAAGGGGGATGGGACAGGACTGTCGGATGACGGACACGAAAGCTTTGTTTTAGAAATATCTTTTGCACCACAAAACCAAGATAGAAGGAAAACAGCCGAAGATCTTTACAAGTTACTTCGAGAAATGAGGGATATGCTTCATACGTCCAAGAAAAAAAAGCGTGAACTAGGCTATAAGATACCTAAGGATGGTTTATGTGTGTACGGTTCACAATGTTACGGATATACACAAGATCTATATGAAATGGAGTATATTAAGCCCTATTATGTAGTTCGAAAAATTGGATCAATGAATTTTTCAAATAATAGCATTACAAAACTTCCATTCATTCTGCGAATGATGTGGGCATTCAAAGAAAGGGTTACTTTCGCGAATCAGGTCTGGGATAATTTAGAAAGCCGATATGAAATTAATGGTTCACTAGAATCATCCGACGAAGGAGACTGCTACACGAAACAGACCCCCAAAAAGCGTAACAATTAATGAACGTGATTGAAACCTGACTTTTTTTGCTATTATTTCAACATTTGATACTTTTCTTTTCATGTTATAAATAATAATCTTTTACTTTTTATCAATCTGCATATCATGGTTGCGATAAATATACACCTAAATCATATGTAAAAATCAATAAAGCGTTTATTAGTTGCCCTCGGGTTTTATATCTTTTAAAATGTATACTGTGATGTAACGCTAAACTAATGTGATTTTCTTAATTTATGTCTTTAATCCGGATAAATACGGATTTTTAAAGCACAATGTTGACTATGCAATAGCAAATCGAACTAATAAAGGCCACTGCGCCAAATTTTACTCAAGTGTGACCACCCTGGTCACAGCTACCGAAATTTGATGAATATCATTTTTTTACTCACTGTATGATCACTTCACAAATAAAATAAATATATACGCTTATCAGTTATTTTTTAACTTGTGTATGCCAACATCGGGCCTAGTGTTTTTTGATTATGATTGCAGGGGTGATGTCCGATTAGCCGATCATCTCGTGATTTATAGAAACTCGAGAACACTCCTAGAACTATCGAGATCATATGTGATACAAATTTTATAATTTAGCCGTCTATGGTGATCGGATCTAATTTAGCCGAATCATAACATCAGGAAAATTTTTTCACCTAAAAATGAATATGGTTTTATTATCCCTTAAATGGTAGGAAATTGCATTAAATTTTAACTTAAAATTTTATTAATTAACCTAATTTTTTTTTTTGATTTTTATTTAGAATACAATATGAATTTTATTGTAAAAATATT